GGGGGGGGCAATAATTACAAATTCAGACAAGCTCCAAGACCAGGTTCTCCCCAATCTAAACTTTGCCTATCCCTTCTCTTGCCAGTGCATCAGCAATAGCATTAACCAAAATCTCTGTATCCATTTGAATAAGGTATTCAACAAGAGAGCTAATGTTCTCACCTCCCACAATACAAAGTTGAGATCCCAACTACCCATATCTGTGTATGACATCCAGCCAATTGCAACTCTACAACCTCCCTCCACCACAACAAAGAAGCAAATTCTAAGCCTGGTGGTTGTAAAACCATAGATCTAATGACAGTATGCTAGATCCATATATAAGTGCCTTACAAAGTTACAATCATAAAAATTGTTTCACCAAATAAACTATCATGGATTAGAATAAGATTTTATACATATAAGGTAAAATACAAGGAATTAAATTTTACCATGTGCAGCAGCAACAACAGGCACTGGTGAAGCAGTTGAAAATATGAATGAGCGACCTCTTGATTGTAAAAGCTGCTTCCACTTTTTGCTGTTTATTTAGCATTAACAATTTAGACATTCAACCAGAATAACAAATAACTCAGACACACTGGCAGTTTAAATATATAAATCCCAAGAAAAATAGAATGTCTATAGAACAAAGAGAAGATGAATTATAATGTACAGATCTTCATAGCTTTACATTAATTTTCTTGACAAGTTCATAATTTTACAGGAATGTGGATAAGAAACACTGTCAATGAAAGAAGAAAAGAAAACGAATGCATAGATCTAAAAAACATTGTTATATGCATGTGTCTAGTTGCATGGAAATGATTGTTCATTTGTTTGAGTTAAAAGTTAACTTGCACTAAAAGGAAGGGTGTTCATAGGCTGTGTTTGGTTTGAAGGAAAAGGTAGGGAAACCTATACAAGGTTTTTACATGTTTCCTTTCCTTTTCCTTCAAACCAAACATAGCCTCAGGAACTTTACAAGAAAGATTGCTCCTTAAAACTCTGATATTGTATATAATCGTGCTGCATTTTGATAGTGAATTTTTGGATACTCCATAGTTTCTCCACATTGTCAGAAAAGAAGCAAACTTAGTAAAAATAAATATAAAGTCATAGTAAAAAGTAATGAAAGACTAACCCTCCTTCCCTTTTTGATCAGTAACCTCAAATTTTATTAAGATATGAAAGAATCAGTAACATTGTAGAATGGAGTTGAGGTTTCCTGCCAACAAAACACGTTCCAACACCCTTCCAACATAACCTGACACCACACATCTCACCATGAGACTAGGAGTCTGGGACCTGCCATGAATAAGACGTGTGGTGTCCAATGTTTTAAAAGCGCAAGGGGCAATTTGCACCTGAGGTGCAAGGCACAAGGTGAGGCATGGCCTTTTTGAAGCAAGGCATAAAAATACAAAAAAATGCTAAAACAATAAAAAATAAAAAAAAAATTGCCAAAAATTTTCAAAAAAATATTAAACATGATATTAATAAAAAATATAAACTTAAATTTTAAAATAAATGTTTTAAAAAACCTATTATCTAAAATTAAAATACATAAACATAATATGTAAAGCATATTCAAATGAAAATTTAAAAATAAAATCAAACGTATAAAACATTTTCAAGCATGTAAAACCCACAATCTCTTTTTTTACTCAATTGCATTACTTCAAGTAGCTAATGTGATGTAAAACCTATTGCATTCCTAATTCTACAAGCTTCTTTTATACCACACTCCTCGAGGCAAGCCCAAACAAGTCTATGTTAGGGTCTTAAATTCTTAATTCTCACACAAAAAATAATGATTTTATAATTTAGTTGCCTTTTAAAAAAAACATTTTATTAGGATGAATGTATGAACAACATTAGCAAATAGAGGATTCTCGGCGTGGTTGGGGGTCCAAGGGCGGACCCCCCAGCCTAGCCGCTAGGTTCAAAAGAAAAAAAACAAAAAATCATAAAAATTTAAAAAGGTACACGCCTGGGCTGAGGCACAAAGCACACCAGGCATGCACCTTTTAAAAATGCTGCACCTAGGACCAAGGCGAGGCACATACCCTAAAATGTCCCTCGCCTGTGTGCCTAGGCATGCCTTTTAAATCATCGGTGGTGTCAGGTCATGTTGGAAGGGTGTTGGAACTATTTTGTTGCAGGAGATCCAGACTCTATGGAATGTGTCTTGGCACCCCTTAAATCTATGATTGATCCAATGCTAACCCATCTTATACCCTTTGCTTTGTTTATATATGTTACAATCCTCTTCCTTGTGTATAGACCCCTAATACAGTTGATCCCTGTTTTGCAAGGACAAGACCCCTAATACCCTAAAATCCTAAAATCATATCAGATTAGTATTGGATATGATACTAGTATGCTAGGCATGTATAGGTATCCAGGTCTCACAGCTGCCCAAACAACCATCAAATAAGCCATCTTTGCTCAAATATTCTCAACCAAGACTTCTTTGGTTTGAGCTTTTTCCAAAAAGGTTCTCAGATTCCTCTCTTCCCAAATTCCCATAGGTGGAGGGAGGACAGCCTTAGTGCATGTCCAAAGTATCTTCTCTTCAGACAAAATCTCCATACCCCTTGGAGGAGATTATCTGCACCGAAAGAGGCTAAAGAAGAACCCCCCAAATGCAAGTAACACAAGGGTAGGAGATTAGTGAGTGAAAGAGCAGTTTTACCACTTGTTTTACATAAAGAAACAAATGTGTAGTGAAAAAGATCTCATTCTTTGAATAACCACACCAGTATTAATCTTTTGATGTACTGCCTTCCAACAAAAAGCCCCTAATCTTAGGAGAAACTACTCCTTAGTCCTTTCCAAATTGCTTTAGCCAGAAGAAACGCTTGGGGGAGAGGAAGTAGGTAGGATTGCTTGAAAGAAAGAGGCATACGAGAATAAGCCAGTAGGTAGGATTCCTCCCACCCCCCTGCATCAATACAAGATAAAATTACCTGCAAATCAGGACGAAAAATACAAGGGCCTAAAGATGGTGTAAAAGCATGGGCTTGTGGAAGCCCATAGTACAGAGTAGGCTATGTGATCTATATTTTTTTTTATCAATACTATGTGATCTATATTCCTGTAATAAGAGGTGTGAAATTCAGTAACTTTCTATACTTCGGCATTCTCAGGAGTCAGAGTAGGGGAAATAAACGAAGAAGTTAGAGGTATTGATGCAGGACACATGTAGGCATGGGAAAGGAGATTCCCCATACCACATGGTTCTTGTGGTCCACCCTGTATTGTCTTAAAGGCTGACATAGCATAATCAACTCAGGCGCACGGTCCCAAGCGTGCATATTCTTTCGTTGTGAACTATAAAGTAACTTGGGAAAAAGACAAAACGATATAATATTAATAAATTAAACATTTATCAGTTGTGAAAGTTCCAGAACTTCTATAAATATCCCAACAAAAATGGGATATTCAGTTGATACTTTCAGACAAGACAACTGCTCAATTATCAGCTCAAAGTGCGAGCACCTTTTCAGGAGAAAACCCTAATCCATCTGATCTAGGGGAACAACAGTTGTGATTTAGGGGAAACTCTTGCAGTTTCTTCAGTTCCTACTCTGACCTCAAAACCCAAACCAATCAATCCTACCCTATCCTCCCACATAAGGAAGCCAAGGGTATACTTGATATGTTCATTCTTAGAAGCTCCAATAGATTCTAGGATTATCTTTTCCTACCTATTATCTCATATGGAACATCCTATACCCTACAAAGTTTCTTTCTTTAAAAGGTGGCCTTGCGAAATGCCTTTAACAGTTCACACATTGTTAGATGACAAAAAACAAAATAAATTGTTTCTTGGGGCACCCAACTATTGCTCAGTGGCTTGAGTATAATTATATTATCCAAGACAATGTTCATGATGAATCAACTAAAAGAAATCTTCCAGAGATACTACCCTCCTCTCCATGATTCCTCTTCTAACTGCTCCTGTCTCATAATTGGCACATAAAGAGACTTATGCTGCAATTTAAAGGGATTTCTCATAGCAATCCAAGCCTTTTAGGCATTGATTCTGTATTTTTCAGTCCTGATAGCATCATAGTTTTGGCCTTTTGGTGGCCACATTGAGGATGCAGATCCTTTAAAATTGAAATCATAGCCTTAATGGATATAGGATTGCTAAAACAAGTAAGCATCACATCTCTTGTTCTGGAAGGGGACTTAGCTAATGCTAAAATATGGAGTGGGAAGAGGACCTTAGCAACTTGCTCACTTCCTCAACGAGATAGTAGAGACTGTTACTGCAATTCTCAGCCTTTGCTGGAGAGATGGATTGTGGATGTTTTATCCAGAATCAGAGGCAGAAGGGGCATCAATGTATTGGAGGGAAGTTTTTATTGCACATTCTTGTACATTGATGTACACCTTTTGTCATATAATTAATATACTATACAAATGCAAGTTACCCTTCTATGAAAAAGCAAAAATATTAGTGAAGTTATGCATTTGACCACACGTGACATTCCAATGGTTTTCTATTTGCCTTTTTATTTCTTCAGGTATAACTGTAATGCCTAGAAAAAGAAACATGAACAGGATTACCTGCAAGCCACAAATCCACCATGGCAACCTGCAGCCTTGCTCAGTGTGCCTATGCATATGTCAACATCATTTTCACAACCATACTCTTCTGCCACGCCCCCACCATTCTTGCCGCAAACAAATGTTCCATGGGCCTGACAGAAGTCTTACAAAACTGAATATAAGTGGTCAAATACGGGTGAAGATTATTTGCATCAGAGTGGAACAACAGGAAGCCATTTTCCCTGCCCATTCCCTATGTAGGCTATAGCACACATCCAAGAAGGAAACACTGAACAAAAGGTCAGACATAGATCACAAATTGGTCCAATGATACTGTTACAACCATAAAAATATAAAATATAAACACCTTTTCCAAAACCAGTTCCTAACAGTCCAAAACTACAGCATAGAACATACTTCAGAATCATCCTATCAGGTCAAACTTTGACCCAAGACATTGTTTGGTCAAACCGTCAAGCCATTCAGTGGTTAATCATAATCCCATATGAGATACCACTTGTACAAGACAGGCAGGCAAAATGATTCTTATAATTCTTGGATCTTCATTTGAGCATCTTCATTTCTTATAATTCTTCAAAAAAAAACACAGAGAAGAATAATGTGAATATAAATTGACATGGCTAACACACTGACTTACATCATCAATAACCAACAAAAATCTATGCTTCCTGCGAAGCCCAGCAAGCTTGTCAAGTGGTGCAAAATCTCCATCCATACTAAACAAGCTGCAAGAATAGAATTTCATGAATAATAAACCAAAGTATCATAAAAACCTCACTCTCCTATGGAAAAGAAAATTAAATTAAAAAATAAACAAGATAAAAACAGATTATGCTCGCTAATGTGCATGACACACTCGCATAAGTGCATACCCACTAGAAAAATGTATCTAGAGTGTCATGGACCTTTTGGTAAATGGTAATTGATGTAGGAATATCTGGCCAACCTGCGGATCTTGACACGTAGCATCGGCCAGATGCATCCTGGCCGTCCATCATCAACCACTATCAACCGCCACCACCTGCTCCCAACTGCCCCTCTTCTAAGGCAACTCTGGCTATAAAAGGGGCTCCCACGTTGAGATAAACACACAGACTTAAGCTCTAAGCTTCCTCTCTTGCTTGGTCTGACCCCTCACAGCCCTCAGCTAACTTGACCGTCAGAGTCTTCGCCCCTGGGATAACTCTCAGGGCCACTGACGTCTTCTTTGTCTCAACAGGTTGGACCTGTCAGCCTCGGACACCAAAAATTATGTTGTTGCCCTCGTCTCCATATTTGGCAGCAACAGTAATGAAAAAATAAGAATATAGAAGTAGAAACAACACCAGAAAAAGGGCATATTGTCTATGTTCTAGTTACTTCTACTTCACCAAAATCGATACATAAAATCTGTTTGGTAGGCCCATACCAAAAATCAAATTCTAGACAACACGATTAATTATGCAGACTATGGATCAGATAATTCTGATTTGTGAAACAGAGGACTTAAATTAGTATCCTCCAAGACTTTAGGGCCATGGTCAAGCATTCCCTTACTCAAAATGGAGTATAGCTAAGACACAATTTGATAGAAAGAATGAATACTCAGGTCAGGACTGGCAAATATTAGCCAGTCATTCCAACTTGTAAGTTGTAACTTAACATGATATACTCATATACATTTAAAGAGTGCCCATCCTGGGGGCCTTCAAGACATTTGACTCAAAATCTGGATCCCTTCCCCTTTTTTTCTACATTTCACTGTATCTTTCTAACCATTAAGGATGATGCAATTAGGTCAAACTTTATTTCAGCACAACCTCCTGGTTAAGAATCATTCTGCACTGGATTATGAGCACCTGATGGACAGAAAATATAGATACCCTCGACATGTCTTAACATGCATCCATAACTACTCAGTTCCATCTACATAAGGACATCTCTACTAAAATGATATTGAAAGTAATGGTCATAATATGAGTTATACCTATCACTTACAACAACTTTCTTCTTCATTGTGCAACTTGTCCTGTCAAATTCCAATCCAATATCTTGAGGTATCAGATAGCCGAGTGGAACAAATAAAAAGGCAAATAGAGAATCAGATGCAAGGAAGGCCACATACAACAAAGCATTAAGGTGAGACATGTCACAATGTTTATATACAAAGACCTCTACTTCTTGATGACGCTCAGCGAGACGGATACCATCAATTATTGAGGCATGATTCAGAGCATCTGAAAATATGGCTACTTTCTCATCCTTCAGTGGTTTCCTGCCTGCAGATAAGAGGGATCCAATACTTCCAATTGTTACCATTACGGCCATATTGGCTGCAAAGCCTGTTGGGCAAAGTAAGCAATCCTGGAACATCATTTTAAGATAGTAATGCACCAAATTTCAGTAGAAAATCCAGAAAAAAACACATAGAAAAGTGAGATTAGTGATGGCAGAATTATATTCAGTAGAAAAAAACTGAAGCAGATTCATAGATTCATGGATTTAGAATTATATTCAGAAAGGACATTAAAAACATTAATAAATTAGTATAGTAAAACATGTCATAATGGGTTATAGAATGGAACATAAAATCAATTTTCTCATATATGCTTTGACATGACCATGTGCATGAAATTATATTTCTAAGGTCTGTGGAGAATATTTTGGAAGAAAAGATAAAGAAAAGGAAATTAAGAAGTCCTGCCCTAGTTTCCAAGAAAAAGCATTTGAAATCACAGATGCTAACCTGGATGCTTTGCCAATTAGAAGAATCTGTGAGACATAGGTTTCTCGGCTTACAATTATGTGTTGCTAAATGGTAGCAACAATCAACTTTGCATCGACCTTCAGACACTCATCCTAACCCTATGTTCGCTTACACACATATCCAACAGAGGGTATTTGTGTTATGTGTGTAGCCAATTGAAGTTAATCAATTACTTTCCCACTTGGAATAATCTGTGAAGCATTGGCTGCTAAGCTTGCAATTATGTGTTGTTAAACACTAGAATTGTCAATTTTGCAGTCACCTTCACCCTGTATTGTTTTCACACATCCAACAGATGGTGCCTGTGCAATTTGAGTAGCCTATTGGAGTTAACCATATATCCTCAAGGTGACTATAGAAGAAACTGGTCAGTTCTATCCATTATGAAGCCAAAACATCACTTTGTTAAAGTTTTATGGTCACTCCCTAGTTTTTAGGTTTTTATATTTTCTCTAATAAGCTATGTTTACCATTGTATTGACCATAGAAGAACAATAAATAGAAATAATCGGGATCAAATATAAAGCAATATGAGACAATTTATTTAACACAGATGGCAGTACCTCTTTTTTCTTCAAATCTGACAAGCATGACTCTAGTATACTGTGATAATTGGTATACCCACAGATTAAAGCAGAACCTCTTGGACCCATTCCATATTCTTGGGCTGCCTGAACATGAAGAAGATTAAGTTCCTAAGTTGAAGGAATATAAGTAATTTAAACTATAAAGCTGAATTCATAAATGCAATCAGCTATTAGGCATACATGAATAGCAGCCTTTCGGATTGTTGGATGAGAACTCAAGCCCAGGTAGTCATTTCCTGAGAAGAGCAGTAACTTCCTGAACTGCTGGGGGCTAACACCTAAGTGTCCATCAACCACTCCATCTCTATTTATGATCTCATCTCCTGCAAAAACAAAAACATCATTACATGACAGGCATCAAAGCAATGCATCTATCTGTTCTTTGAGATCCATAGTTCACCACTTACTAATTGGAAACATAAAATTTATTCCATATGCCTACTTCAACGAAAAGAATATGATGCAAATGGCAGTATCCGAGTAAAGCCAAAATGCAAATCATTGCACTTCAACAGAATACAGGGAAATTAAATACACAATGATTAAGATCTTAAGTCTTAAAACACAGCAAAAATACACGTGAAAGCACATGTGTAAACAACTTTGTGAAGATTAAAATGCACGCATTTACTATTTAAGGTCTTCAAGATGGTTAGACTGATGCATGAAGTAACTGTTAACAGGATTCAAATGGTTGCTTTTGTTTTAATGTTCAACCTGAAGAGTCTAGAATAGTTGGATAGAATGAAGATAACATATGACACCAAAGAGTAGAAGGGGATAAGTTTATTCTTTCTAAAGCATATTTTTCAAATATAGGGAAAACTAGCGTGGCTATCCATTAAATAATCTTAAAAGGAATAACCAAACATCGCATCAACGTATAGCCAATAAGTCTATCTTCCAGCCAGGGCGTCGTATGAGTCCTGATAGAATTGGTCCAGCTTTCCAGCTTGAGAACGTTAAACATTCAATCAAGCCCACACCTGTCATGAGTTTCTTAATCCATATGAACACCCACATTTTCCATTTATTCAGCAATTTGCATCCCCTAAAGGTGACGTGAAGTAACATAACAATGTTCAGTATTCCTCTGTTAAAACTTTTGTACTAAATCTTAAAGTCCCACTATTTTTCATGACCATTGCAATCAGAATAGAAAAAAACAAAACTGTATTTAGTTAAACATGAAAAAAAAAAGGTTCAGACCCATGAAATGAATAAAGAAAGATATTAGCACTAATCAGTAAGGAAAAGAACAAGAGAGGGAGCATTATGTTTAATTATCAGGAGGGAAGATGGGTTTAGGCGAGAAAGCTATAACATTACCGGAACTGGGGACGTCGTTCACCCATTTCTGAAATGTAGGCTCTGCAATCTCAACCTCCACCGACGATCGATCCCACGACCGCAACCCATCAAAAGTCTCAAACTCCCCAAAATTCACGAAGTTCCTCGATTCCACCTCGGTGGGCTTCACTTCTTCCCTCGACAGTGAAATGGGTCGGAGAGATCGTAGGAGCTTTAGAGACTCCAATCTCGATAGAGCCTCCTCGACCCAGTTGTCCCACGAACTCTCCATTTCACAAATAGATGATGAGCGCGCGCGCAAACAAAGATGAAAGAAGTGTTTCACTGTTGGACTTTGGCCCAACCGCTGAGTAACGGACAGACTTGGAACTGACTAGAGAGAGAGAGAGAGAGAGAGAGAGAGAGAGGGGTTACCGCTGATGTCCGTCGAATTGGAAGTTGGTGTGACTAGTTATTTCAACCCATTATTGAATCTTTTGGAGACGGAGAGAACTCAATGAAGCCAACTCCCGTTTCAGCATTACAGCATATATACCGGCTTGAACCTTGGAGTATTGAACACCAAACCCCTCGACCGCCTCTTCTTGGTCCTACTCCTACAGTCCAACCTACTTCAGCATATCTAAAATCCACGCGGTGCTCGTTTCGTACAACTGGTCGTTGTTGAGTGAATGTTTGGCATTATATGGAAATGAAATGTAGCGGGATAGGCGAAGAAATCGATGAAGCATTTGAAAGAAAAGCACAAGGAAAACGGAAAGCCAGATCCACAGTTGAACTTGAAAGCCTTTTGTGTGACGTGTGCAGGCAGAAGAGAAATGCTCCTTTCGGCTTTCGGGATGGATAAGGCCCACGCCCCCTATTTTCTTGCTACTTTAACATGGAAGACGTGCCCTTGTTAAAGATCTGGTTTGTTTGTTTGCACTGATTTTGTTTTGAAAGAGTACAAATACAAATTACAGGGTTTTGCACTCTACATATCTTTATATTTGTCACATCTAAAACAATAAAAATATATATGGGAAAATTCCATATTACTCATTACTTTAAAGTAGCATTAAGTTAGTACCCAACTTTAAATCGTGTTATTGCAGTATTTAAATTTTTTAAAAACTATTAATTTAGTCCTACCATTAGTACTTTGTTAGCTATCTTATCATGTGATCACATGTGCAATTTAAAATTTTTGAAAATGTCAAAACTATCCTTCAAAAGAAGATATTGTTTATTATCTTCTACCTTGAAAGAAGACATTGTTCATTATCTTCTACCTTGAGACATAACCAGTTGTTACTACAAAGTCAATGTTACTCTTCATTATCGCCACTGAAATTGATATTGGCCTCCACAACCCTTAAAATCCCACCCAAAAGGTTCCCATGACTTCATTCTTATTAATTGTCTTACATGTATTTACGTTGGATAGAAGTGTAAATCGGGTTGTGCTATCCACGGGCTGTGCTGGGCCTAGGGTTTTAGGTCCGTGGACTGGGCCGCCTGCGACCCGCGTGCCGGCCCGGCCTAGCCCATGACACGGTCCATATATACTATTTATATGTATTTTATATATATCTATATATATAATACTTATATATAATATATTATGTAAAATATAATTATATGATAATATATAGTATATAATATATTAATAAAATAAATAATTGTTTTCAATTTTATTATACTAATTTATTTAATTATTGTATATATAAGCAGTTGTATACACCAAAATTCGTATAAAATTAAAATTTTAATTTTGTTCAATTTTTTTAAATAAATAGACAAAAATAACTTTGGCCCGACCCTTGGCACAGCATGAGCCCACACGGGCTTGGGCCATGGACCGTGCTGGGCTGACCCCCAAACTATTCACTAGGGAGGGTGTGACGGCCCACAGGTCAGCACAGCACTACCCACTTTACACCTCTAACGTTGGATGCATTACTGCTATTACTCCAGTGAACGAGGTTGTCCTCGTTACTACATCGGATATTACTAGCTTGAGGGACGTTAATAGGGTAACGGGTCTCATCAAATGTGATGGAAGCAAAGATATAAAGATGATTCTAAACCCGTCAAATGTGATGGAATCGAAGATATAAATATGATTCTAAATAGAATGCAAACATATTTGATAAGAGGAGAGGATATGGTGTCAGTTCTTGATGTTTGGGAAAATGTTGGGGTTGCCGTTGTTAGGGGACAGGTGGTTGCAGAGGATTCAGAGGTGATTCATTGTACAAATCAAGGGTATCCTCTTGTTTTAAATAACTAGTGGAATGGCCTGTGCGATGCACGAGGTATTTGATATTGATGGTGATGTTTGACTATGCTTTTACATCTCGGGCATAGATGAAAGTTCATATACCATTTAAGTCCTAGGACAATTATATAATACATGAAAAAAAAGACTATCCTCACAAAATGCCAAGACCTGAGTTTTATAATTATAAAATGTTGGCTGCAAATGCATTAGATTGAAACATTAATGCATCAAATCAATGATAATATTACATTCAATGACATTATATACAGATACAGTTCATCCCAATGAAACACAAAATTTATGGAGAATTGTAGATGCTACTCTTAATTGATCTCCAATTTTGTGATAACCTAAAACTTATGAAAATAATTACTATTAATGGTTAAAGTAAACTAAGCTGTTGTGTTAATTAATTTACTCGATTAACTATTGAATAGCAGAAATCATTATCTAAGATGACTATTAAAAACTTACATTTAAGCCTAAAAACATTTTCCTTATCCTTTTTAACCAAGAGGAGATAAAGAAATTAGTTGGAAGCAAAATTTATCAACCAACCACTAGAGTAACATTTATGCAAATACCTTATAAGCACGTTGAGCACCTCTGCACATTTGTCCAAGAATAAAACAATCAGACGATTCATAATGTGTCACAATGTTGCATACAACTGGGGAGATGAGTTTCAGGCCCTACTTAACAATTGCACACATGATAACAAACAGTCCCAGTGGCCAAATGCCCTTATAAGACATGGGCCTAACTGACAAACATGTGTAGGGCTCGTGGAATGAAATTTCTGTATTTTGTGTAATTTTTGTTATATTTTTTCATTTTTATATTTTTCTATAACTTCTTGTTTTATTCTACAATTTCTATTCATTTTTCTGTAATTTATGGTTTTCTTGTTTGTTGTAATTTTTGTTATTTTTCATCAGTTTTTATAATTTTCTACATTTTTTGTGTATTTTTTTGTTTTTTGTAATTTATATTATGTTCTTCATTTTCTATCTTTATTTGTACATTATGTATTTTTTATAGTTATATTTTTCGAGAATTTATGTATTATGTGAAAAATTAATGGATTGGGTAGGTTGGGTTGGGTTATGGTGGGTTTGGGTTAAACCCAAAATGGGTCATTAACAAGTTGATGGGTCAGGTACCCACCCAATGGCTTTTTAGAAAAGACATTTTTTTTCCAACAACTATCATGCACCCTCATATAGAATTGGAATATGTTGGAAAAACCAAAAAACTAAGGGGTATTGGTTTGAAAAATCTGGGTTTTTCGACCACACTAACTGAATCATTCTCATTTTTTATATATGGTAATAGATATAAATTCTTATTTTATTCTACAGTTTTTGTTCATTTTTTTGTACTTTATGGGTTTTCTTTGTATTTTGTAATTTATGTTTTTTCTTCGATTTTCTATATTTTTTTTGAAAACTTTCTCTATGTTTCTTTGTTTTTTTTTTGTAATTTATATTATTTTCTTCATTTTTTTGTGTTTTTTTCACAATTATTTTGCAATGACAATATATACAATTAGAAAAAAAAAAATAGAAAGTTTACGGTAAAATTAGAAAGTAATATAAGTATGTTTAGAGCAAACCAATTGCAACATTCTCATTTTTTTTTGTAATTTACATGTATTTCTTTATTTTTGCAATTTATATTATTTTTTCCATTTTATGTTTTTCATAATTATTTTTCAATGACAATATATATAATGGAAAAAAATAGAAAGTTGAGGGTAAAGTTGGAAAGTAAAATAAGGGTATTTCGACCAAACCAATTGCAACATTCTCATTTTTTAGTACTAAATTAATATTAAGCCCATGATAGGATTAATATTATCTAACTAAACTTAATATTAATTCAATAAGATGTGTCTTTTGTGTTCTTTTCAATGTTTGGTGTTTAGATGTGATGGTGCGCAATCCGGTCGGTCCTAGCTGCCGGTGACCTTGCCTCTGACGGAGCTAAAGAGGCCTGAAACAGGGAAGAAACTGGAGTTTTCCGAGGAGGTACCCAGTATGAATACTCCGAAGCTCAAGTTAATACTCTTGAGGAGGCAAGGGAAAATAATAGATTTGAAGACCAGAAAGCACAAACATCATATACCTCATTCTCTGGGGGAAGAAGGTCTTTTATAACCACCTGGTGCACTTACTCCCCAGTTTCTGCCAAGTCAGGTATAACCGCCTCTGTGGGGGGCAGGCATAACCGCCATTGTCCTCTCTGTCAGGGCCGTCTCTGCCACAACTGAGATGGCGGTGGCAGGTGGCCGTTACGGCGTGATTTCCATCTGTCAGACCCAGACTAGTCAGGTGCGTTGCTTCAGAGTACAGATCTATCAGACATGGTTTCACAGTTGCGCGACCTGGAGCCGAGGTGTCGGAGTGGTGCATGAGGTGAAGCCTTGAGTTCGAATGAGTATCCTACTGTCCCGAAGTGCTGGCATATGGTCCGAACTGACACGAGATGGGCTAGTTCGGACCTTGCCCCTCGGACTTCGCTATTAGCCTCGGGATCCTTTAGGGAGAGCTCGGGTTTCTCCTCCTAGGAAGTGCGGGTCCCTTTTGGGGAGTTCGGGCCTCTTCTCGGGGAGCTCGAGAGTTTGGGCCTCTTCTTGGGGAGCTCGGGAGTTTGGGCCTCTTCTTGGGGAGCTCGGGAGCTGCCATGTCACGTCGCCGTGTCGACCTGGTGTTCTTCCACGTGTCGCACAGCCAAGGGGTCGGGTCAAATTTACCTCCATCAATTGCCCCCCACTCCCCATGCTCGGGGTCTTGACCCGGCATGGGGAGTTCATAGACTGACGGGTGGATTTGCTCCATGGCGTGCTTAGTCCAGCTCGGAGATTTCCCAGTCTGATCTGCTTACGTTCTTGGCTTAACCAGGGTTAGCACGGCTCGACCGGAGTCAGCCTGGGTCGGGTACAGCTCACGCGCAAACGTCAAGCGATTTATCAGCTATCGGACATAAAAAATTAGCGCTAAATTGATTTCACCTGGGGGTCGCGCAACCGGTTTTCCTGAGAGCCGTTGTATGGCTTTGATCTCGACCGTTGATGAGCGGGTACAGCGGCTATAAATAGTGGGGTCCCTGGTCACTTTTCCTTTGCCAATTTTCGACGATCGTTCCTTGAGCTCGCGCCCAAAGTCCTCAACCCACGTCAGTTTCCTTAGTTCAGTAGTGTTTTCTTTGGTGAGTCTCCCTTAGCCTTTTCAAATTCATTTTCTTTCCTTTTGCGATGTCTAGTTCGGTAACTTATAGGTAATATCGCCTTAGGTTGACAATGTTCCAAGCTCGGGGTATTTGCCTACCCTCCAGGGTCTCGAGCTCGTACGCTCCTCCGAGTGCTCTCTTTACTCGGTAGGGTCCTTCTCAGTTTGGCCCGAATTTGCCAACGCTAGGCACCATAACTTTACGAAGGACCAGGTCACACCGACGCGGAGGTTCCGCTTCTTGACTCTGGCGTTATAGTACCAAGCTACTCTTTGCTGGTAAGCTGCAGTCCTAATGTACGTGAGGTCCCTTACTTCATCGAGTAGATCGAGGTTGGTACGTAGCTCATCTTCGTTTGTCTTATCATTGTATGCTTCCAGTCGTAGCGTAGGTACTTCAATTTCCGCAGGGATTACCG